TATATATATATATATATATATGTGCAGAGCAGCGGACTCGGGACCTCAAGGTCCTGGGCTCAATCCCCGGTCATTGCGCATCTCGTGGTGTCTCTTGAGCAGAACATCTTATCCCCAGTTGCTCCCCAGGACACTTTCCATTGCTGCCCACTACTCCACCTGGTGGTGGATGTGGTAAAAGCAGAGAGCCAATTTCACCATTGTATGGGAACATTCAGTGATGACAATACATAAACATGTTGTTGTTGTTGTTGTTGTTGTTGTTGTTGTTGTTGTTGTTGTTGTTGTATCAATATAATTGAGTTTTTTGTTTGTTTTTATGATGTTTTTAACTTGTGTTGTTTTTTTATGAGCCAGATGTCAGACAAATCTCCATTTCATTGAATGTTATGGACAAATAGTTATATTGAACTGAATTGAATTTGATCACATCCAATATGGCGGCGATGTCGACGTTCGATTCAGCGCTCAATGAGGCGTCTACGTATATGTGTGGATTTAATGAGCTCCAGCGTACGGACCCTCCAGCTAATCAATGCTCTTTGATTTCAGTGACTGCTGCTGCTGCTGCTACTCTAGGAGCAGGTAGGAAACTGGAGGATGTCTTTGTTGATCTGTGTGTTTGAAAGCTGTCACTGTAAATGTTCTTCATGTGTTTGCATTAGGAGGAGCGGTGATTGCTGTTCCTCTAGTGCTGGGGGCTGTAGGCTTCACCTCTGTTGGAATAGCAGCCAGCTCCTATGCTGCAGGCATGATGTCAACTGCTGCCATCGCCAATGGTGGAGGGGTGGCAGCAGGAAGTCTGGTGGCTGTTTTACAGTCTGCAGGTAAACACTAATCACCCCCTGAATAATTATAACTAACAAAGCTGATCTATCTGTGACTCTGTGGGGTTAGTCTGACCCATCTGAAATGTATTAGCAAGAATATTGTGTTGCAGTGAGACGCTGTCTTGGTGTGACGGGCATTTTATTGTGTTTTCTCCCTGCAGGGATGGCTGGTCTGTCTACAGCTACCACTGCAGCTGTAGCTGGTACTGGAGGACTGACTGCAGGGCTTCTCGGTATTTTTATCCGAAAATGAGATCAGAAGAGGAAGTACACATGAAGAAAGAAAAATGTGTTAATTCTCAATTAAATCTAACTTTATTGATGTCTTACAAAGCTTTGTTATCAAAGAATTATAAAGGCGCTTAAAAGTTTTTGCTGATTATTTTGTCAAAATTCATCTTTTCATCTGTAAATATCAGAGTCAGAGTTTCTTTACTGTCATTCGCACCTCATGTGGTACATGTGGTGGAGCGAAATTATGTACACAGGGTCCCAGTTACATCCAACAATAAAATGTATAAGAAAAACAGTAATAACATCTAAGAAATGAACTAAGAAAAACATCATCAACTAAATATACACTAAGCATTCATGACATAAAAACATTGAACATCAGCACAAACATGAACATGAGTCTGTGTGAGCGGATGTGCACGCATGAACACAACATGAAACAGATCAGCAGCAACATGAAACAGATCAGCAGCAACATGATGTGGTTTTTCACAGTGATTATTCTGGTTAGAGATTCATGAGTCTAACAGCCTCAGGGTAGAAGCTGTTCCTCAGTCTAGTGGTTCTACACTTAAATATACTTAAATATACTATTAGATGAGAAAATTCATTTGTTTCAAGCACTTTTAGATTTTTCATCCTAATCTGTACTTGTTTTTGTATTTTTCCTTCACTGTGATGCGATCATCAGGCATGAGATTCGTTTTGTCTCCTCCTGCTGCTCAAAGTGTCCAGGTTTTATTTCTGAAGAAACGAAACTTAAATATGAGGTCTATAAAAAGCTCAGACATTTGGAGGACGGAATGTCGAATGTCTGGGGCTCCTCCCCCATAAAATTTTGAATCAAGTAGATGCCATTTCCTGCATTCTGGTGTATTTTAACTGGTTTTAAACATCTAAATAAGTAAACACGATTCAATAACTATATTAGTTAATGGCACAATAAGAAGTAGCCTGACCAACAGCTCTCCTTGTGTGAAGAGAGAACACTCCGCTTCTCTCATGCATCTTACTCCCCCACCCCCAGCTCATTCAGGTGTTTCACTTCGGGACAAATTGAGGTCGCAGATTGGTCAGTTGCTGACATGCCTGCACGATCGATTGACGGGTGGCGTCGAGGCTCCATCACCGACTGTGGAAACTTGACACTGGACCTCAAGCAACATGGACTCTGTGCCTCTCCTCTCTTCCTCCAAACTCTGGGACCTTGATTTACAAAGAAAATGCAAAATTTACTTTAATCAGAGAACATAACTGGACCACTCAGCAGCAGTCCCAGGCGAGATGCTTCTGATGCTGTCTCCTGTTCAAGAGTGGCTTGACACAAGGAATGCGACAGCTGAAACCCATGTCTTGCATACGTCTGTGCGTGGTGGTTCTTGAAGCACTGACTCCAGCTGCAGTCCACTCTTTGTGAATCTCACCCACATTTTGGTTTGTTGTTTCACCATCCTCTTCAGAGTGTGGTTATCCCTATTGCTTGTACACTTTTTTCTACCACTTCGTTTCCTTCCCTTCACCTCTCTATTAATGTACTTGGACACAGAGCTCTGTGAACAGCCAGACTCTTTAGCAATGACCTTTTGTCTCTTGCCCTCCTTGTGCAAGGTGTCAGTGGTCGTCTTTCGGACAACTGTTAAGTCAGCAGTCTTCCCCATGATTGTATACCCTACAGAACTAGACTGAGAGACCATTTAAAGGCCTTTGCATGTGTTTTAATTAGCTGATTAGACTGTGGCACCAGGTGTCTTCAGTATTGAACCTTTTCACAATATTCTAATTTTCTGAGATACTGAATTAGGCGTTTTCTTTAGTTGTCAGTTTTAATCATCAACATTAAAAGAAATAAACATTTGAAATATATCAGTCTGTGTTTAACTGATTAATATAATATACAAGTTTCACTTTTTGAATGGAATTACTGAAATAAATCAACTTGTTCATGATATTCTAATATTATGACCAGCACCTGTATATTTTTCAAGCTTTATAACAAAAACAAACAAAACAATGTTAACCAGGGGACTGCCGGTACAGACGTATCAAATTCAAATAACTATAACAGTCAGTCTGGCTGACATTGTGGACTGTTCAGTGCAGGAGGTGGCTCATCCTGACTTCCACACCAGTGGAGGTGCTGTTCTGCAGGAGGTGACCCTTCCAACTGTTATATTATTTAATTAGTGTAACAAATGAAACAAAATTTACACTTCAATTTCCACTCTGAGAAGGTGCTATTTATAAGACTGAGCTGAATACAGCACCTCAGACTGAGGAAGTCTTTCGGATGAAAGACAAAACGTTTCTACTTTTTTATTTTTTTGTTGTTGTTTTGCTTTGTTTTGTTTTTTTGAATGTCCAGAGGACCAGATTTAACTTTTTTAGATAAACAACAGTGATATTTCTACAAATAGGATTATCCAGGGTTGCAGTTTCTTAGGAAGACGTTCAAAGCACTCGAGGCTGAAATATACAAATTTAACAATGTAGCAAATTTGACTTTTAAATGAGTGTTTCATGCATGTTACACTAACAGCAGGTATCCTCCATATTGCAAAACAAGACGGCTACACAGCAGGAGCAGCACCAGAAATTGTACAAAAAGTATATTCTTCATGCACAAACATGACTCCAGTTTAATCCATTCTGCTGCTCTTGTTGTTTTACTTCTGAAACCTGTAAAAGGTGGAATGCTCATCACCATTGTCAGCATATGCTTCATGTGGGAGTGGCTGCATTCAGCAGTAAAGTCCTCCCTTCTCAGAAAAAGGCTTGTTGCCAGCATCTGAGCAGTAAACGTCATCACAGCTGAGGACTGGGCAGAATCTTCTTTCAAGCTTTAGGCTCGGTTACAACTTTGGACTATCATTCCTGGTCGTTGACAAACCATGGGACTCTGTAAGTACAGCTGAGTAGTCTTGATAACATTTACACTTGAAGCCAAGAGAATGATTTGATGAGCTCCAGCTCTTTGATTTCAGTGACTGCTGCTGCTGCTGCTACTCTAGGAGCAGGTAGGAAACTGGAGGATGTCTTTGTTGATCTGTGTGTTTGAAAGCTGTCACTGTAAATGTTCTTCATGTGTTTGCATTAGGGGGAGCGGTGATTGCTGTTCCTGTATTGCTGGGGGCTGTAGGCTTCACCTCTGTTGGAATAGCAGCCAGCTCCTATGCTGCAGGCATGATGTCAACTGCTGCCATCGCCAATGGTGGAGGGGTGGCAGCAGGAAGTCTGGTGGCTGTTTTACAGTCTGCAGGTAAACACTAATCACCCCCTGAATAATTATAACTAACAAAGCTGATCTATCTGTGACTCTGTGGGGTTAGTCTGACCCATCTGAAATGTATTAGCAAGAATATCATGTTGCAGTGAGATGCTGTCTTGGTGTGACGGGCATTTTATTGTGTTTTCTCCCTGCAGGGATGGCTGGTCTGTCTACAGCTACCACTGCAGCTGTAGCTGGTACTGGAGGACTGACTGCAGGGCTTCTCGGTATTTTTATCTGAGATCGAGATCAGAAGAGAAGTTGCACATGGAGAAAAATAAAAATAATGTAATTCTCAATTAAATCAAACTTTCTTGATGTCTCTCAAAGCTTTATTGAATAATTATAAATAAAGGCCATTGAAAAGTTTTTGCTGCTTGTTTTTGTCAAAATTAAGCTTTTTTTAACCGTAAATATAATAATATATTGAGAAAATTCAACTGTTTCTAACACTTTATTTAAAAAAAAAAAAATTTGTCCTAATCTGTACTTGTTTTTGTATTTTTAATCACTGTGATGCGATCATCAGGCATGAGATTGGTTTTGTCGCCCCCTGCTGCTCAAAGTGTCTCCAGGTTTTATTTCTGAAGAAACGAAACTTAAAAATGAGGTCTATAAAAAGCTCAAACCAGTAAAGCAGCTTTATGAAGATGAATCAGTCTCAAATGTAGTCGCTCAAGTGGCGGCTCGTCAATAGGGGGCGCTAGGGCGCTGCCCCACCACTCAAACCACTCATTATCTTGGAGACCGAAAAAAAAAAAAATGAAATAATTCAAAGTATTTCGGAATATACGTATATATTTTTTGTTGTATAAGATAAATATTTTATCTCAGAAATCAGTATCTCAGAAAATTAGAATATTACTTAAAACCAATTTAAAAAAAAAAGATTTTTAGAAATGTTCAACTTTCATAATATGACCATGAAAAATGTGAGCATGTTCAGCACTCAATACTTAGTTGTGGTTCCTTTTGTCTGGATTACTGCAGCAATGTGGTGTGGCATGGAGTCGATCAGTCTGTGGCACTGCTCAGGTGTTATGAGGGCCCATTTTTCTCTGATAGTGGCCTCCAGCTCTTCTGAATTGTTGGGTCTGGTGTATCACATCTTCCTCTTCACAATACCCAGTGGTAAATTTGAGCCGGATCCTGCCAGAACAAGATCCAGGAACGCTCTCATTTTGACCACTTGGATCCGGCAACTCAAATCTCCGCCCATAAAAGTCCAAAGTCATTGCACATTTTAGTTTTGATTACTCATTAAAAATACAACGAGAAGAGACGTTCTGTGGAGCGGATGTTCCGGCCGCAGCAGGCGCACCAGCTCGCGCACACGCTCCTGTCCGTGCAGCAGAGACGCGGACCGCATGTCCCACGGGGATGAGCGTCTTCATCCACCTTCAGATGTGCGCCACAGTGCACATTTTACGTACAGGAGCGTCCCCTGACAGCTCTGCAGACCGCGCACAGCTGCTGATGTGTCAGAACTCCTTCATACATTTCAGAGATAATACATAAAAAAGCTTAAAGTTAAAAAAAAAAAAAATTTAAAAGAGTGAAATGTTTAACGTGTATTATTCACATTACATCACATCTCAAAACAACGGCTCTAATTGGTCAAAATAACAGCCATCAAAATGTCAAACTGTCCAATTTATTATTTAAAATAAAGGGATAGATGGACAATTGAAGCACTGGAAGGCAGTGGTAATCGAGATTGGAGCAGAACAATGCGCAGGACTAAGAGTTTGGGTCGGACAGTGAAGTGTGTGTGTTGGGGGGGGGGGGGGTGTTAGGACGCTTGACAGAATGGGAGCTGCTCTATTCACACACAAGCTTGTTCCTGTTGCTCTCTAAAATAGTAATTTAATTCAACCTTGATTTATACAGGTTGTTAGTCTCATTGAGCCTCGAGAACTCAATCAAAATGTTTACAAATGTTTAACATGTTAAATGACACCAAAATGCAGGAGATAGCAACTCTTCACCCTTCAAAGTTTTGTTTGGGCAGGAAATTCCATTACCAGTTGACATTATGTTAAATGTGAACAACATAATTTTCTTCTGTGGATGAGTGTGTGTCAAGGTTGCAGGAAACGTTATGGATGGTAGTGGAGGCAGTAAAACACCGTCAAACAAAAAGCTTCAGAGCAACGGAAGAGATTTTATGATTTCAGAGCAAACTTTCAGTATTACTCAGCAGGAGGACAAGTGTGGGTACAAAACAAAGCCAGAAAGCGTGGGGTGTGTCCCAAGTTGCAGAGATGTTATAAGGGCCCATTGGTTGAGAGGGGGGTCCAGAGACTGTTATTCACTTCAACAGACTTGAGTCTTTTGTTCCTTCCTTAGCAGTCTCATCCCCAATAGCTGTGGGATCCAGAAGAAGAGGACAGCTGAGTGCCAGACCTGCTCAATGCCAGTACAGAGGAGTCCAGGCAGATGCTGGCAGGGACGATCATCAGTGTGACACGAGTCATCATGCAAAGAGGCCCATGCCAAGAAAGGAGCAAAGCCCCCCACTGCAGGGTACTGGAGAGATGGAGAATGTCCCTTTGGCTGGTTCATCCTCTGCACCGTTTCCCTGGGATCTGTCAGCGCTGCAGGTTCAGCAGGGGGCCTTTCCCCAAAGGACTAGACCAGCTGGGCAGGCTCGCCCTGGACATGCAAGGTCTCGAGCGCGAGTTGTTTTAGGTGGTGGTGGTGGGGGGGTGGGGGGGTGTTGATGTGCTTGGGCAGGACTCATCAGTGGAGGCAAAGAGACTGATCAGGGACAGGTGTGTTCAATCAGTGGAGGAGCAGAACACTGGACAAAGGTCTCAAACAAATTGAGGAAGAGAGCTTTTGCAGTGGTTGTGGCAGCACCCTTTTGGAGGGAGGGTGCCGTTTGCAGTCACTTAGGGCTGCCATCGACGAAGATGGCAAGATGGCAGGTGTTCCTGTGTCAGGAGGGGAGGCTGGGTACCTCCTTTAACTGTCAGGGCTGGGTTTTAGTGGAGTGTAGTCACCATCTTGGGCTCCTGCTTCAGTTCCTGCTGCCTGCTCTGATCTGGTGTGGAGCCAATCCAGGAGGTCCCATCATCGTCCAGCTAAGCCGATCCCCGGAGCGTTGGATGACATCACAAGCTTAGACCCTATAGGGGTCTCACCACTGGGCGAGCTAAGTGAACTCATTTATTTAATCTTTATTATAGGTCCTAATTTCTTAGCTTAAGTGTTGGGTTTTTTAGGAGCAGATGCACAAATAAAGACACTAGTGTGTGGCGATGAACGGTTCTGACATTCTAGGCAAGATCTTCTGCCTGTGTGACCCACAAATTTATTACAGTATTAAAATTGTGGCTAAAGGCTAAAAGATGGAGAACACCAGCTAAAAACTAAGTGTTGCAAAATGCTATCCGAAATTGGCAAAATGCTAACTAAAGCTAAAGCAGCTTGTTGCTTGATAAAAGTAGCTCCAGAATTATTAGACGTAGATTTACCAGAAGTCTTAAATAAATTTGAAAGAAAACAATGTGTTGACGAATTTTAAGAGATCTCTTCTAGATATTTAAAAGTAATGTCTGTATTACAGTAATAAAGCTATATGAAGTTGTAAGTTCTTGATAAAGTTAAATACATGTAACCAGATTTTAAATAATGTTACTAAAACAAAAGTCATCTATCTCCTGGAAGAGCTGAACCTTTAAATGTTTTTGCAATCAGAGAATTGTCCGTTAAATTCAGAACATTTATTTGGATTATGACGTCACTGTTTGTCAAGCGTCTAATTTTGAACTATAGTGTTGTTTCTGTTAGGTGGCTAAATATTTAGCACAACTCATACATGTCATTTTGCTGTGTGGTTTTTTTTTTTTTTTTAGAAATGGAAAAAATTAATTAGAATCTGAATGTTGCAGCATAAAATGGCTTTTCGCTCCACTTGCAAGCTTGCTTTGTCACTATACTCAACTCATTTCCTGTTATCAGACCCATGACTGAATAAATAAAGTGAAATGTTTGTTTCAGTAACTTCATTTCACTTTTTGTTTTAAAGGAGAAATCTGGATTCAGATGATTAATGGAGCAATATACCCAGGTGGAGGTGTGGGGTTTCTGTTGGTTTCCATAAAATAAAACAGAGTGCTGCTGAATGTTTAATTCACAGTGGAAATAACAGGAAAACATTAATAATGAAAGTTTATTTTGAGGGGAGATTTATTTTCTGCAGCATAGTTTTGCTGCATATCAGTTGAGACAAATGTTTTTGTTTTAATAAGAGTAAAAGAAGAAGTGTAATACTGCGATTATTTCAAATATATACTACAACACAGCATGGGATCAGTGCAAAACAGCAAACCACCAGATTCCATATGATAAATGTTGATTCTGTTTCCCCCACTGTCAGTAAAATCTTTTTGGGCCTTTAATTTTCTGTTCTTGTAAACTTAATTTCCTGGCAACTGTATATAAAAAAAACAGACTTTTAAAGACATCAAGGTTGATTTTATTGTTCACATCTCGGTCTCCACACTGTCCTGCATGTGTTCTGTGCTTCAGCTCCAACACTTGAAATTATTTCTGCATCAGGTTCTGTAGGATGTTTAATAATAATAATAATAATTTTTAAAAAGTCATTAATAGTTAAAAGATGTGTTCTGTCTCCTACTGCTGTAAAAGAAATGATACATTTTGGCCTTTAATGTAAGTGTGTTCTTTTTATTTGTTGAGCTGACTATGAAGGGGGACTCTTTTTTTTTTTTTTTGATGGGGGGGAGAATAAAAAAAGGAACAGACGCAATTATTTTAACCAGCTTCCTATTTTAATAATGTGTGTTACTTCCCCGTTGAAAGTCTTCCATCAAACACTGTTCGTCTTCAGCACAAGTCTTCACTTTGATGGAGCCAAATAAAAACTGCAACACGTCAACAACTAATTAGACCGACGGTGCCGATGGCGTCAGACAAGATGAACATTCAGCACTTCAGGAACATTAAAACTGCACATGGTGGAAATTAGAAAGTGCTACAGTTGTTGTTTTAAACAAAAGGAAAAAGAGACGAATCAAAAATGCACACAAACACCAACATGACTAAACAACAAGAAACAAAACTGACAAAAGGCACCAGTTTAATTCTTTAAATGTGGAACTGCCCAAATCTGCATAAAAGAAGAATTTACAAAAAACTTCTGGTTTCTCCATTCTGCTTAAATAAATACAGAATATAATGATTAGATATTTCTGTTTCTAATATTTCTGAAAATTAATTTAATTTTAAATATTCTTTGAATTATAGTTTTTTTTTTTTTTTTTTTTCAAAGGGATATCAACAAAAATATAACTATATAAATACAGAAAAATAAATGGAAGTTTTAGTATTTAAGTAAATTTTTCAGTAAAGTAAATTTTTAAAGCTTTTTAAATGCAAATAATTTTATGATTCAGCTGTTTTTATGTTGTTTGTATTGTTGCTACCAGGTTTATTTATCGGTGTGTCATGCTGGGCTTTTGTTTTTTTGTTTTGTTTGTTTGTGTTTTTTAATGGCTAAATTGTGAAATGCTTTAGTTGTTTTAATGTGCAAAAAAAAGTTATGTAAACTTTGCTGGAAAAGAACAAAAAAAAAAAAAAAAAAATTTAGTTTTTGCTGGCTGTCCATAAATAAATGTTAAACAAAAATATGGTTACTGGACTAATTATGAGCATTGTTTTTATGTTTTAGTTGTAAATACAATAAACTAATCTTTAAATCGTTATAGCAGACAAGTTTTAGTATAAATCCTCAGTTTTCTTATTAAAACTTACAAAATCTTAAAATCCTGAATTTCAAAACTATTTTTATAACCTGGCAGCTCAAATGTGGTTCAGTTAAATGGCCTTTTCTTGTTTAAAGTCATAAATTGACTAAAATAAAACAAAATATTTTAAAATCGGTCCTCAACAAAGTATTCTGAGGTGCTGCATTTTACTTCTTGTATTCCTAAATATATGAAATTTCATGAGATGGTGTTTATTTTTCACTTCAACCTGTACGTTGCATCGGTTTTTACTCTTCAGCCGTTATTAAACGCATCATGCAGCTGAAGGACAGAATGTGTCTCCTGTGTGTCCACGCTGACATGTTGTGCTACTTAACAGTAGGACACGTCTCTTTGTCTTTTACTCCTTTCCTTGGGATCCTCTGAGCGACCCCGTAGGGCACGTGGCACGCTACGGTCCCCATTTCCGCTGCCCCCTCTACGTGAAACATCTGGTCGTCAAAGAAGATGTGAGGCCTGATCTTCTCCAGCATCGGACCTTTGGGCGCTCCTGCGAGGAACAGAGCCTCGTCGATCTCCAGACCCCACGAGCGCAGGGTTTTTAGGGCTCTGGCACCAGAACTGGCTGCGCTGCGAGCCGTCACCAGGTAGGTCCGAATGGGGCAGTCCATGCGCTGGCCTTTGGCGTAAAACTTCTTCTGCAGTTTTCCCAAAACCTCCAAGAAGCATTTCAGTGGACCCTGTGGGACAAAAACAAGGAAGACATACTTCAGGTTTGTGGTAGAATTAAATGTTGTTATAAAGTGGATTTATTTTGATAAATAATCACTAATTGTCCTGTTTTGTGTACTTTACATGGTCCAGAGGTTTGTTCTCATGCGCCTTCTCGTGCTCAAAGAACTTGTCCAGTCCGTGGGCCTTAAAAATCCGCTCCGACTCATCTGAGAAAAGCACTGCGTCACCGTCAAAAGCAACGCGCAGCTGAGTCTCCGACACTTCGGTCATCTTCTCCGGGGTGAACATGGTGGCTGCTGCTATACCTGGTGCACACAGTTTGCACTTAACTCTGTGTCAGGAGTTTTAATTTATGTTTCATTAAACAAAAATGATGTTTACAAGCCTGTCAAAGGTACAGATTCCCTCTGTTAATTTTCTTTAGAACTTGCCTTGCTCCAGAGCCTCGTGGACCTTGACTGGGTCAGCAGACAGGTAGAGGTTGGTGTGGTAGGCCTTCAGGTAGCCTATAGGACTGTTTCCTCCCGTCATACAGAAGCGCTCGATGAACAGCTCTGCAACAGAGAAATTTAATGAACAATCGGTGTGCACAAACTAAACAGTGATAATTGTGCAAAAAAGATTATCCAGGGGTTGCAGTTTCTTAGGAATAACCCAGGGTTATTGATTATTAGGTCTGTTTCACACAGGCCAGGTTCCTGTTTGTTGCTGAGCTGACCACAATGAATGGAGAGCTAAAGTTTTGAACCAAAAGGTCTGTTGAATCCCCATAACTCCTTCCAGTGTGGTAGGAGGTGCTTTTAGCCTTTATATATGTTGTATATATATGTGTATATATATATATATGTTGTATATATATGTGTATATATATATATGTATGTATGTATGTGTATATATATATATATATATATATATATATATATATACACACACACAGGGTCCCAGCTACATCCAACAAACGTATAAATTGTGAAGAAAAACAGTAATAAGATCTAAGACATGAACTAAACATTATGAAAAAACATTAAAAATACACTAGGCACTAGTAGTACAAAAACAATACGCCGAACAGCAGCACTAACATGAGTCTGTGTGAGCAGATGAGTACAAATAAACACAGCAGCATGAAATAAATTAGCAGCATGATGTGATTTTTCACAGCTATTATCCTGGTTAGATATTCATAATAATTACAAAACTACACTACAGGCATTAATACTACAAAAAAAAGAGCAACAAGAATAATCCATAATCCAGCTGTTTGTAATACCATTTTTGACCACAAGATGGCAGTATAAGTGTTTGAACCAAGGATATACAGCGCCCTCGGGCAACAACAATTCAGCTGCCGCCTCACCTATACGGTTATGGGGTGTAGATTATAGCAGACAGAAGAAGATCCCAGATGCAGGTGTCTGAAATAGTCTTCCTTTGAAGGGTTGCTGCTCAGCTGAGGAGAGGAGCTCCATCATCAGGGGGATGATGGAGCCACTGCTCCTCCACATCAAAAGGAGTAACTGAGGTAGTTCAAGCATCTGAATAAAATATCGCCCTAAGTACATTCCTGTGAGAAAAGACCACGAGACGGACTCGGGCCTCAGTGAAAGGATCATGTATCCCCTCTAGCCTGGGGATTTGAGATTGGTCATGGCTTACCTATGACTTGGATCAACATGCCACTCACAGCCCACAGAAGCATGATCTGTAGACCCTGAACTCCCAGCTTTTATAAGGTAAGGGTTTGTTAAATCCTACTTACTTAGACAGTCGCAGTACAGGAGAGTCACGTACTAGAGCAGTTTCATTTCTGTTTTTGCCTTGTTTATTTCAACCCGTTAAATAAATACTTGAGCATTTTCAGTCAGCTTCGTGTACAGTTTTTTATGTCTGTGTGAGCTGCAGCAGAACTTGGTTCAGTGACTGTTTGGGAATAAAATGGACTGGCTGCTGAGCCCAGCACATCCTGCAGCCTGTTTTTATTATCAGTAGATAAATCACAAGACTCATTTATAAAAATAAAAAAAAGACTTGCAGCCAACTGTTTTGAATGTATTGTATAGGAAACAATTGCCAAGTGGTTATTTTTATGACCTCAGACAGGTGTGAAAGTGACATATTTTAATTATGAAAATTGTTTTTCTCCATGCTGTTTTTGGCATATATGTGTATTTACATTAGTTTTTCTCCTTTCCCGTTGAGACCGTGGCTTTTAAATCTCAGTTACTGGTCATCATGTGTAGATTTGTTTCCACCTGTTTAGTTTAAAGAATAAAACTTGATTCTTATCTTCAGTCTGGTCCAACACAGCTGGGCTTTTGTGTTGCTGACAGGTTGATTTTCTCTTTTATTCATTCACATCAGCACAATGTAAAAGGAGGGTAGTAAGCAATGATGTGTTAAATTTCATTTTTGTGGAGAAGCAGATGCATTAAGCAGTTTCTAAAACCTGTGGAAGATTTCAAATGAAAGCACATCTATTTAAATAAATCGAGCAATGAGTTCAATATAAAGTCATGCTCAATCTGTACTTTTAGGACCAATTCATAAGTAAATGTATCAACTGGTCAAAAGAGATATAAAACGGATGACTCTGCTTACATAAACCAATATACTTGGCAGGATAAACTGGAAGAGGATAAATATTTAATTTCCCCCACAGCCTTATGGGATAATGGCTGAAGTGATGGTTTGAAACAGAGTCACGTGACAGACATGGTTGGAGACATTTTCCATTTTTCCTGCATTTTAAGGAATCTCGGAGGTTTCTCTTGATTTCTGAGTTATAATTGTTCCTAAGCAAAACATTCCCATCTAAGATCAACATGCCAGTGATAAAGAGCATGTCAAAATTATTAATTTACTTTAAGGGGTCTGGAAATTTCTAAAGGATTGTCATTTTTGGCAATATTGTCGTTTTCCAGCAGATGCTAATTTGGGATTCCTTTTTTTAATGCTCTAAAGATTGAAGATAACAAAAAGCATGCTATTTAAAATAAAGATAATGCAAAAATGTTCCACCAGCTCAGACCTATATATTGTATTTGTAACTGTTTTAATCCATCTCCTCGTAATAAGTAACCAATAAACATTTTCTCCCCAAACAAAGTAAATTGCATTTCCTGCAAAAATGCAGTGGCTGATTTTTGCTGAAGAAGTTGCAGTGAAACAGCTGAAATGACTAAAAACATGCTGAAATGGAAGAACAAGCCTAAGTTAGTAGAACAAAGCAAAAATAACACATTGGCTGGATTAAGTTTAAATAAGCAGAAATGAGCACAAAAATTAAGAAATAAGCTAAAAAAGCTGAAATTAGGTTTAAAAAAATGGATGAAAAGGCAGAAAGAACCTTAAACTATCAGGAGGAGCTGAAATGAGCTAAACAATATGGAATTAGATGGAAAAGCTAAATTTAGCACAAAATCTGCTAAAAAAAAAAAAAAAAAAGTAGCTGAAATAGAAAAAGCTAAACTAGCAGAAAAAACTAAAAGGAGCATAATAAGCTGGAATTAGCAGAAAAAAGTTAATTAGGCTGAAAGTAGCAGAAATTATCATGTAAAACTTGAATATATATGAAAACAGGTTAAATTAGCTAAAAAAAAGGCAAATAAAAAAAATAGCTGAAAAGGTAGAACAAGCTTAAATTATCAGAAGAAAGTAGAAAGAACATGTTTGCTGAAAGAAGCAGAAATTAGCACATGGAAATTATCTGAAAAAAGCTGAAATTATTTTAAAAAAGTAAAGTACTTAAAAAAGCTGAAAGAAACTTAAAATTACATGTAGAATGTGGAGAGAGCACATTTTTGCTGAATTAGCTGAAAAAAGCTGAAATTAGCATAAAAACAACTATATAGTAGCTGAAATAGCAGAAAAAGCTGAAGCTTGCAGAAATAAGCAGAAAGGAGCATAACAAGCTGAAATTAGCAGAAAGAAGTAGAAGCACAAAATGCTGTAGTTAGCAGAAATAATCTGAAAGGATCACAAAACAGCTGAAATTAGCTGAAATTAGCTGAAAAAATTATTTAAATTTGCACAAGGAAGCTGAACCAGAACAAAATGTGAAAGGAGCATTAAAAGATTATAAACGAATCTAAATGTCTGAAAGATGTAAAATGAGCTCAATTCATCTTCTATGAGGAAAAAAACGTGTCAGAAAAGGCTAAATATGTCAAAAAGCTAAAGTTGCACCAATACCAAAAGTTATAACAGGATTGTCCTGAAAGAGCTGAACGTTTTGAAGTATGATTTGTTGAAATAGCTTGGAAATTTCAGGATGAGAAACGCAACAAAAACCGTATAGAAGAAAAATGGATCACAATAGTTTGAATGCTTCATAAACATTCACACAATATGCAACCAAATATTAAGAGTGCTTTAAAAGCAACAAAACAAAGTCCACCCGCTGCAGCATTTTAATAGCATTTTGAAATCCTGATTGCTGTAAGATTTTTATTTGTTGTCTTCACCTCTATAGGTAAGAATTTCTCGAATCAAAGAGCTAAAGTTGTAGATTTTAAATTAAATATATCCGATGTTGTCCCTGCATTGGTAACTTACGGTGATGGTTGATGGTATTGATGAGTCTTAGGCCAACGTACGCGTGGTTGTTGGTGATGAGAACTACATCAAAAAGCTCCTCACTCTCAGGATAATGCTCCCTCAGTTGGGTGTTGACAGCCTCCAGAGCCTGGGGACCCGACCAGACACAGATTAGTGTTAGAACAAGGATCTAAAGCGCCACCATCCCTCTCATCCAGAAGTCTCTGACCTTAACAAAAGAGAAGGCAGGTCCAGGACTGAACGGCTCCGTTTCATGCGCCACCTGGTACTGGATGTACTCCTCCATGCCCTGCTGCTCAAAGATCTGCTGCTCCTTCTCCATGTTGAAGAGGACTCGGGACGACACGGCGATGGTGATGGCGTTCTGCGGCTTGGGCTGGAGGATGAGACGTTCAAAGCGTGACATTTCAGAAGAAAAGCCTAAATGAACCTGTGGGTTGAGCGTGGAGGGCTGCAGCAGAACTGAAGTGGCAGGGGGATGTGAAATGTTTTCCACTGCAGGAGCCTGATAATGTCGCATACCGGACTGACACTTCTTAACTCTTCAAAGGTCGAAAATCTCCTCTGTCCATCATTTTATATAATTTAACCCGTTATCATGAAACAAATTTTATTTTAGACTCTTTTTTTTTTCTATTTTAAGATAACTTTTTATTAATCCATGAACATTTTCTTCAAAACATCCTGAGAAAATGTAAAGTCAGCGGTTTTGAACATTATCAGCTCATTAAATGACTGTTATTAGTTGTTATCATCCACATATAGCATTCAGACTGTCTCTCCTACCTCCTAGGAGGTTTAATGGTACGTTCTTATTGCTGATAATATGCAGCTTTGCATGCGTCTAAACATTTTTTTAAAAAGCTTTATTTAACCCTTTTCCTAAACGTTGCACCTGACCCAGAGCACTAACACTAAACTTAACCCCTGACTCTATTATCAGCAATAAGAACATACCTTTAAACCTACTAGGAGGTACAGGAAAGACAGTCTGAACGCCACCTATGGGGATGATAACAACTGATAACGGCCATTTAATGGTTTATAGCATTTGAAGTGAGTACGTAAAGTTTAGTGTGTAACAACACAACAAGCTCGAGCTTTTTGTGAAAATAAATAATTTGATCTAAAACCAGATTTGTTCAGATCAAAACTGCAAGTTAGAGAGTTCTCAATGTTTTTATAGAGGGTCCGTATTTTTAAATTTCTCAACAGGTTTGAAACATTTGCTGCAGCACAACAAATATCAAATCAATCTTTAACACTAGTTTTTGTTTAATTGTGTATTTTTAAACGCATTATAATTAGATTATGTGCAGTGAGCTGCAGGGAGAAATATGTTTAAGACCACAAATTTACCAAAAGTATTAAACATTTCAAGGAAAAATGTTCAAAGGATGGAAATGAACTTGTAGCTCGTTGCTTCTCTCAGGTTCAGGTGGCTGATTATCTGATCTGAAACACGAGCTCTTAACTTGGCTCCGTTTCCAGCCGGCACAATAGAGTCTTGTGTTTCAAGCTTCATCTTTATGTGATTTTAATTTCAGCATGCTTTGAATGATTCATCATTTTCCTGCAGAGTTTCTGTTTACTATCTTTTGTTGTCATCTGGGTCACAGGCAGTTTTATACACTTTAAAATGATTCGTCTCAAGGTAAAGACGAGTGCACCGAACATGGAAAAACCACAGAGATACTCACTGGTTGAGGTTTCTTTGTGGGTGTGGAGGGCTTCAGAACTGCTCGAGCATCTTCCCTGGGGGCTCGGCTGCCATTCTTCAAGTCCTGTCCACCGACTGACAGAGTTTGACAGCTGTTCAGGTTCATCTTACACTCCCAGTGTGATTTGTTCACTTTTAAACACTCTTGTGGCAGGATTTGTCCCTCAAGAACACCCCACTCCCACTCTTCACAGATTAAACTGAGTCGTGCCTCACTCAACAGATGAGCTCAATGTGACTGCAGCAGCAGAGGCACTTGCCTAAACTGCTAGAAGAAGACTGAGATGATGCAGAGGAGCCGGGTGGAGGCAGACTGTGAGCCAATCCAAGCTGTGACCTTGTCTTCTCATGTCCAGCATCATGCGGATGAAATCCCTCGATCAGGTCCTCCGGGCTGCTCTTCTCCTCTTTTGCACACTCTGTACTGACTTCAAGCCCTCGCACATCCTCCCTCCTATTTAACTCTTTCAACGTGGGACTCCCAGGAGTCACAGCTGAGCATCTGATTTCATCCGGCTGCTGAGTCATGCTCTGTTAAACGTGCAAACTGAGGAACAAAATTTAAACTTTCTCCAAAATTACACTTGGTTTAGGGATAAAAACTGGATTACTGGTGTAAAATGCTACAGCTAAAGGTGCACTGCATCCTCTGTGCTCCTTTCTATAAACTATTTCATAACCCTGCACAGCATTATGGGAAATGTAGTCACATCAGTGGGTCTTTAAAATCAGCCAGGTTGTCGCAAAGACTGAGTCACAGAGAATCCATCCCGTTGCTAGGCAACAGTAGGTGAGTCATAGCAAATGGGACACTCCCATATTTTGGGTCCATCTGATTGGACATGTGACACACGCACATGCACATCACTAGCAGAGAAACAGGCAGGTGATGCAGGAAATAAAGATGAAAGTACATGTTGTGCTTTGAAGAGCATAAAATAATTTTTAATGCTGTTAGCTCCTCTTTGATCACAGTAAACAGACAAGCTGCAGCCTGGAGGGGTGTGTGTGTTTTTTTTTGTTGGTTTTTTTTTTGGTGGTGGTGGGGGGTGATATTAAACAGGCACACAAGCAAAACTAAAGATAACAAAAACCAACATGCAAACTGAATATTGTGCACGTTTTAACTTGTTTAACTGATTTATGCTCAAATAAAACAAAGATGTCATAAAATGTTGTAAAACCTAAATCTTTTATATCCTGATGCATGCTCAATAATCCAGGTAGAAAAATCTAAAAAAGTTCAATCTGGTCCTCTGGACATTCAAAAAAAAAAAAAAAAAAGCAAAACAACAAAAAAATGTAGAAACGTTTCGTCTCTCATCAGAGAGACTTCCTCAGTCTGAGGTGCTGTATTCAGCTCAGTCTCTTAAATAGCACCTTCTCAGTGTGGATCAACTAGTTTTGCTGCTGACAACCAAAACCAGCTGATCACATGCTCAAGAAGGACCATCAGCCTAACAATGGATCATTAGCACACTGATGGCTGTTTACTGTTCACAGAGGGCTGAGTGATACTAGCAATCACAGCATTGTAAGAGGGGGACAGTTGAACCCGGAGGCCTCCACCTGTTTAATGATGGACGATTTATTTTCACACAGATGGCCTCCTTTACTCCTCTCTCAAACCATCGTTCCTCTAAATCTTTTATATTTTTTTTCATTTTGTTTGACTTTTAATTTAATTAATTAAAAATATCAAGTTTAGAGTTAATAATAAAATAATGTTTTAGCACACATCATATACGTTGTGTCAAATGAAATCTCTCAGAAATAAATTTCCAGGAGGATAGAAAGCTCCTAAATGTTCAATTATGTTTCTTCAAAATTAATTACGACCCCGCGTCAGACTAAAATTGAAGAGTTGAAGCTAAATGCTGTGGAGTTGTCATAATAATAAAACAAATACAAACAATGACAGAACTAAAAGAAGTCGACTTCAAATTGTCTCAAAAACAACAAAACCTGCAAAAAGTTGCTGCTGAATTTAAACAAAACGAGCTCAATCCAATCATTTTAGTCTTATTATTATTTTAATCAAGAATTAAACTTTTAAAACATTTAACACAGGACCATAAAAGAAAACTGGACTTCACAGACATTATATGTGGTTAAAAAGTTTTGATTCACAACAAAACACTTGACATAAATGTGTGTGTGTGAAAGCTCTACCATATATATTCTTCCATAAAGTTATTAAACAGCATGGCATAATTTTTCATTATGTCATTGTTTCCTTTTTAGGGGAGTGGTGGAGCAGAGGTTAGAGAAGATGGGCCTGTGATGGGAAAGTCGCAGGTTCCACTCTCGGTATCGTCAACATCAAAATGTGAGTGGAAAAGGTGAAACACCCACACCTGCCTCCACTCTCATTTGCCCCAATCTGGGCCCCTGAGCAAGGCCCTCAACCCCCACCATCTGCTCCCAAAAACAGGTCTCTGATTGAAAATGAGTTCTCGTGACTCAGTGAGACTACCTGTATAATAAAGGGTAAATGAAAATGAAAAAACTGCTGATGATACACAATTATATTTGTCCATGAAACCCAAATGAATCCAATCAGCTACTCGGACTACAAACATGTCTTAAAGACATAAAAACCTGGACGACCCTAAATTTTCTGCTTTTAAACTCAGACAAGACGTTTTAATTTTTGGACCTGAGCATCTTAGAATACATTTTTCAGTCTTTCTCCCTCCTTGGATGGCATTAATCTGGCCTCCTGTTCTAATGTTAAAAATCTTGGTGTTATTTTTGATGAGGACATGTCTTTTATCCCCCACATTAAAAATGTTACTACCGTCTTCTTTCACTTGCGTAATATAACTAAAATTAGAAACATCTTGTCTAAAAATGATGCAGAAAAACTGGTTCATGCATTTGTCACGTCTAGACTGGACTATTACAATGGTTTATTATCTGGGTGTCCAAATGCTTCTTTAAAAAGTCTTCAGTTGATCCAAAATGCTGCTGCCAGAGTCTTAACTGGAGTTAGTGGGAGAGATCATCTCTCTCCAGTTTTAGCTTCTCTCCATTGGCTCCCTGTCAAATTCAGAACTGAATTCAAAATCTTACTTCTAATGTACAAAGCGCTCAACAACCTAGCTCCATCTTATATTACAGATTTTATCGTTCCATATTTTCCTAACAGAGCACTTCACTCTCAGACTGCAGGCTTGCTTGCGGTCCCTAATTTCCAAAAGCAGAATGGGAGGAAGATCAGTGATCAGGCTCCTCTCTTGTGGAACCAACTTCCAGTTTCTGTCCATGAGGCTGACACATTGTCCAGTTTGAAGACTGGGCTTAAGACTTTCCTTTTTGATAACTCCTATGTTAGCTTGTTATGCTGCTATAGACTACTAGAGGACAAATTGAGTTCATTTCTTGAAATGAATTGTAAAATTGAATAGTTTACATTTGATACTGTTTCTATCTTAACTTGTGATTCTTGACCTGCCATTGTGTATCTGTTCCTCCTTCCTGTTCCTCTCAAACCCAGACAGTCTAAGCAGATGGCCACTTGTCCTGAGTCTGGTTCTGCTAAAGGTTTCTTCCTCATGAGGGAGTTTTTCCACTGTCGCCTTCATGCTTTCTCAAGATGAGAGTCTGTGATGGAGATAAACTCAAATCAGTCTGCTCCTCAGATAATTTGTTAATTTACTTTTTATGTATATGAATGTTTTTGTTCAGTGCCCTGAGATGACTTCTGTTGTGACCAGATAAATAAACTGAATCGAATAATAATAAAAAAGATAATTTGCTGTTAATCAGAAAACAACAGCCGGTCTTTGCAGTTGATCTCTGTAGCCACCAGAGAGTAGCAGAGGATTAAAAAGCCTTTCAGCATCTTTGAAAGCTTCTCTGGTTTCATTCATGCCCAGTGTGTTGTAAACAAGGAGGATGTGAAAGAAACACTGCGTTAAGAGAAAGTGGAACTGAAAACATTTATATTTGAGTGGCTATCATTTAAACTTTAAAGTTCTCTTGGGATTGAACGTGTTTTTATCTTACATGATTATTGCTAATCTTAGTAAAGATTTATATACATGATAATACGGGAGGCTTAATTAATTTTTATAAAAACATTCAACCTTGAAAAAAATATAATTTATCATAGTTTAATGCGTTTAAGACCTGATCCGTGTGTGTGTGTGTCCGATAATGTTAACAGGACCTGAATGGAGACAGTTGGGCCGCGCCCACCGACATGATTTGAATAACACCGGCTTTTGGCGCGAAACTGAGAGGAGGCGGCTTTGTGTCACCCTGCAGTGGCGGGAAATGCAGGCGGGGAAATAAAAAAATAAAAAAAAGGGAGGCCTCACTGAGTATGCTGTACCTGTAGTTGCCTTGGCGCCATGCAAGAAGTGAAGTGCTTCATGAAAAGCAAACAAATCTTGGGGGGGGGGGCATTAGGAGAATAAACGCGGAAGAAAAAAGCAAAGCCGTGCTGTTTTGGCGCGAGTCTGCAAGAGAGATAATAAAGCTCTCTGTGGGTGGAGACAAAAGGAGGCCAGAACAAAGAGCCCGAACAACCCCCCTACTCTATATGAAGCTCCACCCCCAGCACACCGCCTGAAGGCTTGAAACAAGGCAGATGTCTACTATATCCTTAATCAGCCCTTCAGAACAGCCACTCAGGCATGCTGGCCACCACCAGATTCTTTGTTCTTACTGGGATTCTGCTCAGACCACAACAAATCACACACACACACATGCTCCATCAGAAGCGATTACGGCCCTTCCTTTCTGCTGCAGGACGGCCTTCAAGCATCAAAGAAAGGTCATTTTGCAGAGCTGGAAACGCTGACAATTGGACGTAACTGGATTTGTTGTTATTAGGTTTCAGGGATGCCGAGGCCCCGAGTCACACACACAGAATGGTTGTTTGTCTCGTTTGTCTCTATGCGGCCCTGTGATGGACTTGTGACGTACCCGGCCTCTCGCACAGTGATGGCTGGACATGGGCACCAGTGACCCCCCGCGACCTGAAAAGGAAGAAGCGGGGATCGGAGACCCCGAGTCAATCCAGTCCTTCTAAATCAGTGGCACTGGTAAAAGCGGCTGACTGAGAGCTGTCTTGTCAGCCGTTAAAGGAAAACAGCAGCAGTTCCTCTCACTTCCTGCCTCCCGATGAGTTTAACACAAAAACAGGAAACCTGTAATGCTTGTGCGACTCCTAGATCTTATTACGGCCGCTTCTTTTCCTTCACACATGCAGGAGG